TTGGACTGCAATTTAATTTTGCAGCATCTCCTCTAATGTCCATTTTTTAGTGGCATTCCTCCTCGGAGTCGACATATTAAAGTTGTAATCTTGAATCACGGATTTTACCCAGTAATTGATAGTTCAAAATTTCTATTCTTCAGGTAAGGTTTTCCATCCCCAAATTGGGGCATGTTGCCCAAATTTCTGTTTTACAAATACTGTTGGTCTTGCATGACAAGATGCATACCAACAAATGAATCAAGAAGGGTCTGTATGTGACTAACGTGAGGATGTTCGTATAATGAGACCCAATTTCTCCAGTGGAATTCTTCTTCTTTCCTTAATGGAGCAAGTGTCCTATCTCTCAGGTGAGATGTACAGGAGAATTCCAGTCATAACTCTTTCGTTACCAGTGGTAGAAGATTTTGTTGAGATATCCCTAGTGGAGTTTCTATCCCAGGATATTTGTTTCTTCCCCAAGCGAGGATATTTTACCTCCCAGCAATGTTATCCCTAGTGCGGTCTGAGTAGATTTCTTTTTATTTAAGAATTTCTATACTCCCCAACAGAAGTTATCTTCGTCAAGATTTCTATGCCAGAAGATTCCATTCCCAGTAAAGCTTTTCTCTTTCCAATAGAGGATAAAGAATTTATTCCCCGTGAAGTGGGGAGTTTGATCAGAATTCAATTCTTTTCTCCGAACTACAATTTATTTTTTTAGTATTCTCCCCAAGAAGTTACTTCCCCGGTGATATCAATCTTTAGGGTTTGGCGGTTCCGAGTCTCGGTGCCCCATTAAAGTTAATTTTGCCTTTTCTCTACAGAAGATCAGATGTACAAGAATAATCGTTCGGAAGTTCTTTGTCACCTCAACAGCCGATTATTGATATGTTTTCTAGTGCATCATTATATTGCATCATTACATTGCATCTATTAAAACGCGTATCATTTCCATTATGTGGAGCATTACGCTATAAAAATTCAAACATGCATGAGTATAAGCCAATTGTGTCCACCTAGGGTAATTCTATTATGTTTCCCCAGTAGAGTTTGTTTTGATTAACCACCAGTCGGGTCTTTGGTATTCCTCCATTTCCCCAGTAAGTTTGTGGTTTACGCTTTCCTATGCAAGCCTTTGGTTATTTTACCCGTGTTTGCTTTGTCGTTAGAGTATGAGTAAGAGTTGGCTTATAACCTTTCTTGCTTCTCAAGTGTTTGAGTATCCATACTTAGTGTGTGGTAATTCTGACAATTGCCACTCTTGAAGAATTAACACCCCGCCTCTGTCCTGAGGGATTTTTAGTTCTTGCGTATTTGCAACCTATCGAAAGCCTAACATGTTTTTTCTTTGTTAAAGTCTACTTTGACCAATCCCTTTCTCTTGCAGAGTTCACCTTCGATCGGTACTCTTTGAAGGTCCTGCTTAGTCGGTTCCTTGTTTTGGTTTATCCGCGTAAGTTGGGTCCTTCTTTCGTTCGCCTAGCTAACTTTTTATGATTAAGAGTCTTTCAATGTCTCTTCAAAGTCCAGTTGTCTGGCGCCCTTGTTTAGACGAATGCATCCTTTTGCATTGGGGCTTTCTTCGGTTAGTCTCGTTCCTGTGTTCGCTAGCAATTCTAAACATTTGTTTCTTTATGATCAACTTTGCTCTTGTGTATCTAACTCTGACCAGATATGCATACCTTTATCATTTGTTGAGAGTCCCCTTCAGATGGTCTCTTTGCAGTTGTAAGTTCGCCTTCGACCAACGTTCTTTTCTTAGGAATCTACCTTTGGCATAGTATTCCTGGATGAAGATTCCCCTTCGGCTGGTTTCTTTATCCTAAAATCCCGCTTCGGCTGGTATCTTTCAAAATCCCGCTTCGACTGGTATCTTTAAAAACCCCGCTTCGGCTGGTATCATTTGTTAAAATCCATCGTTGATTGGTATCATTTATCAGGAGTCCCATTTGTTTGGTCTCTTCCCTCAGTAAGTTCGCCTTCGATTGGTGTTTCTTTGTAAGAGCTTTCTTCGGTCTGTCTCTTTCTTGCATATCCGATACCGACCACGGATATGTATTTTTGATACCTGTTTTATATGTCTGCTACCAACCCCAGACATATGTTCTTGTATATTTGATATCTCTTTTGTGCGTATCCGATACCGACACGGATATGTATCTTTGATATCTGTTTTGTGCGTATCTGATACCGACCACGGATATGTATCTTTGATGTCTCTGTCATATGTATCTGATACCGACCACGGATATGTATCTTTGATATCTCTTTTGTGCGTATCTGATACCGACAACGGATATGTATCTTTGATGTCTCTGTCATATGTATCTGATACCGACCATGGATATGTATCTTTGATATCTCTTTTGTGCGTATCCGATACCGACACGGATATGTATCTTTGATATCTCTTTTGTGCATATCCGATACCGACCACGGATATGTATCTTTGATATCTCTTTTGTGCGTATCCGATACTGACCATGGATATTTATCTTTGATATCTCTTTTGTGCGTATCCGATACCGACCACGGATATGTATTTTTTTGATACCTGTTTTATATGTCTGCTACCAACCTCAGACATATGTTCTTGTATCTTTTCTATCTCTTTCTTACGTATCTGATACCGACCACGGATATGTATCTTTTCTATCTCTTTTGTGCGTATCTGATACCGACCACGGATATGTATTTTTTGATACCTGTTTTATATGTCTGCTACCAACCTCAGACATATGTTCTTGTATCTTTTCTATCTTTTTCTTACGTATCCGATATCGACCACAGATATATATCTTTTCTATCTCTTTCTTGCGTATCCGCTACCAACCCCGGATATGTGTCTCTGATATTTTTTTCTTCTCGTATGCCTGCTACAGACTTCAGGAATATATCTTTTGATATCTTTCTTACAGGTGTTTGTTACTAAATCCCAACAGATGTTCCTTGATAACCAGGTTATTCTGCTGTGTGTCAAACCCTGGTTAAACATACATCTAACTCCGATAACCCCTTTAACCTAGAAAGTAAAAAATAAAATATAGAAAGACCAAAAATAATGATACCTGACTGGCTTCGGAGCGCAAATTTTTGGGTTCTTTTAGTATTTAATCTTCTTCTACCTTGAAAGTTTAAAAGGCTGGCGCCAATCTCACCTTCAGGTTGAAGGCGATTAAATAGGGGCAGCTGTTGCACCCAAAAATTTGCCCTCCTAAATTTCTTCTATTTTGGCTTAGATTCTTGAATTGATCTGTATATATTCCATTAAGTTATTGACATACATTTGCATTCAATAAAGTTCTTAAGGATCAAAGTTCAGTGGTTGTGCGATATTAGAGTTTCATAATGATTGAGGCGTTCATGTCCGATAAAGGCTGATTTCTCATTCAGACATCAAGCAGTGGAATTAGAATTGAGACCTGGGTCATTGAGAATTTCTTTCTTCATCAAGCTACAAGGCCATCCGAGTTTATTTTCCTATGTACGATCGAAGTCATGTTTTTGACGATTGTGTTCTAATCGAGTACTTCTCCAAGGATTATGGTTTAAGGTTGCCACTTATGGCTATTTGGAGTCTCCTTCCTTCAGAATTAAGGACCTCCATCTGTCACCACTTCTTAGGTTTTCTTACCAAGACCCAACTTTCACCTGAAACTTTCTCTTAAAGTGACGAGTATTTGGTTCTATCCTAAAAAAGTTTGAACTTTAGCATAAACATTTGTGTGAATCATCTGCTCCTATTTTATGGGATAAAGGTTTCGTCGGGAGTATTGATGCCATTGGGATCTTATTAGGATTATCTTTCAAAAACCTAAGGTACATTTGTTGTTGAAATTCCTAGAGGCTGATTGCGCATTGATATGGTGGAATAATTTATTCCCTATTTCACCAATTAGGGATCTGCATATCAGGGTTCAAGGGTGTTTTTCCTATCAACTTTTCCTTAAGATGCAAGATTTTAGGGGTAGGCGATGCAAGTGTGAATTAGGGTTTCTAATCCTTGGTGTTTAGACTTGATCTGGTTTTCATTTGAGGCGTTCTCTTCACTGTAATCAAGTGGTGGTCATCCTTTGGTCAAGATCTTGGTTTATCTGGTAATATCAATTGGATATCATTTTTTTTACCAAAACAAGGCAGTATTCTTTCTAAAGCTTTTTTGCTTGGCATGCAAATTTGGGTTAGATTGGGGGAATTAAATTAGATTAGGAGTCCATCATTGTTTACTTAGTATATCAAAATTAAGTTTCAAGAGCATATGTGTTCAGGATGTCAAGAAGTTGATCTAAATAAGGAACAATGGCAGAAAAGCTTTAATTACGAAAAAGGAAAATTGAGGCTCATGACGACCATTTGAGTATCATTCTTCATTGATCAATCTTATTTCATAAGTCCAAGTGCGAATTCAAGTATTCAAGGAATGTTTCTTTCATGACTCGAGATCCATATGTCACTATTTTGTTCAATACAAGGTTCGTCCACATAGAAGTTTTCGAAATAGTTCATTCAATGGTACTCAACTTCGCACAAATTCTATCCAATCAATTCCATTCCATTACAAAACTCATGCCATTATAAAGTTACAAAGAAAGCTACCAATTTGGTTCATCCAATATACACATCATATCCATTCACCATTACAAGTCCAAAGCTTATAATTCAAAACAATATTCATCCAAACCCTTTCAAAAACACTCAAATTTCCAAAATATAATACAAATCATTCATAATACTTTACAGAGAAAAAAAATAGTCAGCAAGCCTAACCAACTAAAACCCGGTCTCGATCATTCATAACTAGCTACCAATTAATAACCGGATTAAATAACATTTTTTTCAATCACCTGCTATCCCCTCCATACCTCCTGTGCAGAAAAAGCCCGTTGTTGCAATTAGGCCATCAACAAAAGGATCATCAAGAGAGCTATCAGATGATGACGAAGCTGAAAAAGAAACAGAATTTGTTGGATTGAGTGAACATTTCGTTCTCTCTGATAGCATTTTCACAAGCAACACCAATGGGCGCATATTACAACGACGCCGTTTCATTTCCACCATGTTACGACGTTGTTTCTTCTCGAGATGAACACGTTCATGATAACGTCCATGGCAACATCTTCATCGATTCTCTCAGTTTGAAGTTCATTGATACTGAATAGTTTCAGAAGCTTCGAGAATTGAAATAACTAGGTTTCACACACTTGGTGTATCCAGGTGTTGTCCATTCAAGATTTGAGCATTCTCTTGGAGTGTATTGTATTGCTGGTCAATCTGTTGAAAAGCTTAATAGTTATCAAGGAATGGAGCTTGGTATTGATAGATTTAATATGCAAACAGTGAAACTTGCTTGACTATTGCATGATGTAGGACACGGGCCATTCAATCACTTGTTTGAACGAGAGTCTCTTCCCCAAGTTAACAGCGGTTCTCATTGGTCGCATGAACAAATGTCGGTGAACATGGTTGATTATATAGTTGAGGAACACAATATTGATATTGAATCTCATATGTTAAGAAGAGTCAAGGAGATGATATTGACGAGCTCCAAATTTTCTTTTCCCAGAAGCTCAAGTGAGAAAAGTTTCCTGTATGACATTGTTGCAAATGGACGAAATAGAATTGATGTTGACAAATGTGATTATATTGCACGTGATTGTCGAGCTTGTGGTCTTGGATGCAACTTTGAGTTTCAGAGGTTAATGGAGACCATGCGGGTTTTGGATAATGAGATTTGTTATCGTGCGAAGGACTATCTTACAATCCACAAGTTGTTTGCCACTCGGGCTGATCTGTATAGAACAGTTTATACACATCTAAAAGTAAAGGCAATGGAGCTTATGGTGGTTGATGCACTTGTGAAAGCAAATGATTTTTTGCAGATTTCAGATACCATTCAAGATCCAGCTTAATACTGGATGTTGGATGATGCAATTATAAAAAACCGTAGAGACTTCTCCATTAGAAGAACTGAAGGAAGCTAGAGAGTTGATTATGCGCATTCCAAGAAGGAATCTGTACCAGTTTTGTAACGAGTATGCTGTTCCAAGGGATATAACGGATAATGTTAAGAAAGTCACTCCACAGGATATAGTTTGTTCCCAGAAAAATGGTGGAGTTATGTTGAAAGAAGAGGATGTAGCTGTTAGTAATGTCAAAATTGATTTGACTCGCGGAAAGCACAATCCTCTAGAAAGCATCCATTTTTTCAAGGATTATGAAAGTGATGAGAAATTTACAATTCCCGATGAGCGCATAAGCCACTTGTTGCCTGCATCTTATCAAGATATGATTGTAAGAGTATACTCGAAAAAGCTAGAACTGGAAAAAAAATTGCAGAGGCATGGAATCAAAACACAGGTTTCACAATTAAGAGGTGAAAATTCTTCCTTGGTAAAGCGCCTCACTAATGTAAGCCAAAAGTACACTGATTCTGCTATTGACAACAGAGTGCTGAAAGCTGATGTTGAAACTTTGAGAGCAAAGGTGAAGATGGCTGAAGAGACTGTCAAAAGAATTATTGGATTGAATCTGATGTTTCACATCATGCCTGATATGTCATCAATGGGCATGCCTTCATTTGATGGAAGCCCTTCATACAATTCAGCTGATGCAGTTGTTCCTGTGCAAGACGATCCACATCATCACTTCTACCAACATGCATAACAGAATTTTCTAAACAGAATTCTAATAGCCTATTCCAAAATTAACCTACAAGCTGAATTACTAATTCCCATAACTAATTTCCAACAACTTACTAACAACCTCCATAACAAACTTCAACAGAAAATCCCAACTGTTTTAACAATACATAACAGAATTTTCTAAACAGAATGCCCAATTAACATAACCATCTTGTAACAAACTCTCAATCTCACCCTTCAATCCCTAACAAACTCTACTCAAATCAATGGTTCGGATTGATTCTCACATAGCCGTTTCCATCTCCCTCAATTACCTATATAATCCAAACCCCCTCCAAGTTTCAGGGGACGACGTTACTCTCTCTTTTCCAGTTTCAAGACTTCACTCTCTCTCCACCATTTTATCAGCTTCAAAACAATTTTTCCCTCTCCATCATTCACTCTCCATTTTTTCTGATCTCTCATCATCTTCATCTTCCTTTCATTCATTCACTTTTCTCTTTTTCCCTATCTCTCTCACTGTAAATTCCACCGTTCTTGACTCTTTAAAAAACCACAAAACTCCTTTAGTTCTCACCACATCTCATCATCTTCTTCAAAGACTTCAACAAGAATCTACAAGAACTTTGTACATCATCAGCATCATCTTCAAAGATTTCAAAACAAATCATGCTCGGCTCAAGAACAATAGTGCATCACACCACAACACGCACCAACAAACGGATCACGGTGCAGAACAGTCGATTCATAGAAGAAGAAGATTGAGAGGAAGAGGTCACGCATATGAGTTAATAGATTCAAACTTAAATACACCAGCACTACCAGATTTCTGTTCATCTTCATCATCCTCAAAGAGAACCGGACTTCTCCGGTAGGTAAACACCGTCATCTTATCTCCTTCGCTATTTCGCTCTTTCCTTTTAGCACCTCCGTGTAGGACGTGTGGCAGGATTTCTTTCTTTCTGGAGAGTTGTTGTTTGTTGAAAATCGGGGAATGATGTGGAGGTTTAGAGGAGAAGAGAGATCGAAGTAAGAACTAAAGTGATGATATTGAGGAGACGGAGACCGTGTGAGGTTTCATCGGAGAAGGAGATTGATGGTGAAGTTGCGACAATCGCCGATCGGAGTGAAATAATGGCGGTAGTTCGTTCGCACGGCGCCGTTTGGAAGAAGAGAAGAAGAAGTCTGACTGTCACTCTCTTGAACCCTCGCAATTCCCAAACGACCTTGTTTTCCCTCTTTTTTTTAGTTTGTTAATTCTTTGATTTTTATAATTAATAATGATAAATGAAAAAAGATCTAATATTGGTTGGAATTTGTTTGTGGATGTTACCATTTCCCCTGGGCTCATGTGCTGGATCCTCTAAGCCCATCAGGTATTTTTGTTTAAAACAAAAAAATATATAACAAAAAATGTTTCACGAACTGGGCCTAGAATCTGAATTGGAATCGCTATGCAGTGGCATCGTGTACAACATACACCTCCTGGGCTGGTTTTTATTCTTGACAAAATTTCTTTTTTTTTTTTATAATTTTGATTATAGTTTAAGACTTATCTTAATCTTCCTCATAAAAGAAAATATATATAAAATAAATCCGTAAGAATTTGTTAGTTTTTTTTAGTACTTTTTTTTTATTTCTTAGGAGTTAATTCGTGGTTATCCGATTAGTTGAAATTCATGACTCACCTTTGCTTCGTTGAGACTTGAATCTTATGCAGGTTCAATATGCGACACGTGGATATGCTTGAAATTTTGATTGTGATTTATTTTCGTATCTAGGATACTTCGACGCTTACTTCGAGTACTGAATTTCTAACTCTTTTCTTTGTTGATGCTAACAGCTCACGGGATCGTCAAGTATCTTTGCTTTTTCTGCTTTGCTCTACGGGCTAGTATTCGTTTGGTATATTTTCTTTCTATTTTTACCTCGCATTTATCTCTTCCCATAGATCATATGAAGTTTGATAGAATTAGGTTTAGAAATAGGCTAGTCTCCCTATAACTTTTCTTTCCCTTTTGCATACGCATCTAAAACTAAAACTCTTTTTTTCAAACTTCAAAAATACATAAAAATTCACTGACAAGAATCATGTCTTTGCTAAGTTTGGGAGATGATAAGTGGGTTTCTTCTAGATCTTATTATTCTCTTATTCTAAGGCTGGGCATGGTTCAAGTCTCAAAGAATCATTTCACGAATAAGTAGAGACATGGCTAAAATCTCTCCCTTGAGATTAACTAGTTAATCTCTACAAGTAAAAACACCAACAAACATAAAATTCTTTTGCCTTTGGGCCTTCCTTTCAATTTTTTTAGAAAGAGCGTATTAATTCACTTCTGTACTGACGCGTAAGTCTCCAAAGGTCGAGTTGCAGAAGAAGGCGAAATTAATATCATTCATTACAAAAACAAACAAGTTCAAACCTTTTTTGTGCGTCCAGGCACATTTCTTTCCAAACTTTTCAAGAGAGCATGTTAATTCACTTCTGTGCTGACGCGTAAGTCTCCAAAGGTCGAGTTGCGGCAGAAGGCGAAATTAATATTGTTCATTAAAAAATAAAAACCAACAAAAATATATAAGCCGAACTACGGCTGCTCTGATTCCTTAAAAGGGATACGTAGGCATCGGGGTAGGGCCCGAACGAGCACAACCTTTATTTTCCCTACATTTTCCCCCCCTTTCTTTCGCATGCATTCTCCCCTTAGCAATAGTAAATAGTAAGCATAGATTAAACACACCCATAAGATAGACAACAAGAGTGGATACTGTAGAGTACTACGGGCGTGTGGGGTGCTAATACCTTCCCCTCGTGTAACAGACTCCCTTACCCTTATCTCTTGGTTGTTCGACCTTGATTTCACCCTTTTCAGGTTTCCTCGATGTTTACCTTTCCCTTCATGTGGGATAAAAGACGTTCGATGGCGACTTCATTATTTTGATGATTTTTAGCCGGTTGTTTCACCCGTACACGTCCAAGAATTTGATTCTTATGTTAATAGCAGCCTTAATACCCATGATGCATGCTTCGTATTCGGCCATGTTATTGGTACAATCAAAGAAAATTTTGGCGGTGAAGGGCGCATGGAAACCCTTGGGAGAGATAACCACATCATCGATTCCCTTTCCTAGAATGTTAGAAGCTCCATAAAAAACCAAAGCCCATCAAGATTCCGACTCAGGTCCTTCATATGGTCCTGGTTTTTCATATTATATAACTAGCATAATACTCTCATCCGGGAACTCGAAATTCATAGATTGATAGTCATCTACGGCTTGATGAGCCAAATGATCTGCCATTGCACTTCCTTTGATTGCCTTCTGAGTGGTGTATTGAATGTAGTATTTTGTTAAGACCATTTTCCATTTGGATATCCTTCCGGAGAGAGCGGGTTTCTCGAATATGTATTTTATGGGATCCATTTTAGAGATCAACAAGGTTGTATGAGTCAACATATACTGTCTTAGTTAGAGAGCAGCCCATGCCAAAGCGCATCAAGTTTTCTCGAGCAGTGAGTATCTTTTTTCATAGTCGGTAAACTTTTTTCTAAGGTAGTATATTGCATTCTCTTTTCGACCAGACTCATCATGTTGCCCCAGTACACACCCCATTGAGTTGTCTAACACTATTAGGTACATGATCAGAGGTCTTCCTTAAACTGGTGGAGTCAGAATTGGAGGTTCCTGGAGGTACTCCTTGATTTTGTCGAAAGCTATCTGACAATCGTCATTCCACTTTACTATTTTTTCTTCAGCAACTTGAAGATCGGCTCACAAGTAGCGGTCCAATGATAAATAAATCTGGAAATATAATTTATTCGTCCCAGGAAACCTATGACTTCCTTCTCAGTACGCAGAACTGGCATTTCTTGAATGGCTTTGGCCTTGGCGGGATCAACCTCAATACCTTCACCACTAACGACAAAACCTAGGAGTTTATCGGATATTACCCCAAAGGTACACTTTTTTGGATTTAATCTCAGCTTGTACTTCTTCAATCTTTCAAACAGTTTATGTAGGTGGTCGAGATGTTCTTCTTTAGTCTGAAATTTGGCTATCATGTCGTCGACATAAAACTCTATCTTGTGATGTATCAAAGCATGGAACAAAGCTACCATATCATGTTGATATGTTGCACCGGTGTTCTTTAACCCAAAAGTCATAACCTTGTAGCAAAAAGTTCCCCACTATGTGACAAAAGTAGTCTTCTCCATGTCTTCAGGTTCCATCTTGATTTGAATATAACCGGAGAAACCATCCATGAAGGAAAACACTTTATGTTGAGCAGTGTTGTTAACCAGAACATCAATATGTGGAAGCGGAAAGTCATCTTTTGGGCTTGCCCTATTCAGATCCCTGTAGTCTACACACATACTCACCTTACCATCCTTCTTTGGTAATGGCACCACATTTGTAGCTCACTGAGGATAGGACGTAACAGCTAAGAAACCTACATTGAATTGCTTCATAACCTCAACCTTGATCTTTTCAGACATCTCGGGACGCATACGATAAACTTTCTACTTTATTGGAGAACAACCTTCTTTCATCTGTAGACGGTGAACCACAATATCAGTATCAAGCCTTGGCATGTCTTCGTATAACCAAGCAAAGATCTTAACATAGTCATGCAACATCTGAATTAATCTATTCTTGACACTGTCTTCTAGGTTAGCACATATCTTGACTTCTTTCTTGTCCTCTTCAGTACCCAAGTTCATAATCTCAACTGGCTCTTCATGCGGTTGTATGGCTCTTCTTCCTGCATTAACAGCCTAGCAAGATCTCTAGGTACCTCACAATCATCCTCACCTTCGTCCTCAGCTTGGTAGATCGTATTTTCAAAGTCATAAGTGGAAATAGCACAATTATTATCAATGGGATCCATAGTGGATGTGGATCTGAAATTTGTTATGTGGGTGTGTGTAAGAACACATAGATATTTTGAAAGTGTAATAAAGTAAAAGAAAGACATAGAGCGAAAAGTTTAAATGCAAACGTCCAATGTTTTATTGAATGAAAATATGCGAATGAAATGACAACCCTAACAAATGGACCATTGTACCCCTGGTAAGGCACAAGGCTTAAAGTTATTGTTTTAAAAATTACATGGAAAAAACTTGAAAGCAAAAAGAAACAGAAAATAGAGTTTACTTCTGACTAAAGGAGATCGGTATGACGTCTTTAGTCTTCCAATTATGAGTCCATTACCGGTGGTGGGAAAAATCCAATTATCTAGGTCGTAGTCGCTATCAGCATCTTCTATCGCGTTGACTCCATTGTTGCTGATGCGGATTGGTGGTCTTCCAGCACGAGCATGACGAACAACCATCTGAGCCTCTGCAGTGAAACCCAAACAAAATTTGTCATACTTGTAAGGAATATCAAAAAGCTGACCCCAAGTAGTAAAACCACCTTCTTCTATCACAACTCTTGCATCCTTTAGAGAAGCCATTATGGGCGGAACCCTGGTAACCTTAGGAATAGAAGAGACGTCTTCAGTAGCGGTAGTCATCCGAGCAATAACTTTAAAAGTTTGACAGGGAGTCTCAATGAATTCTCCGTCCATATCAACATACTTGAATGAGTTCAAGTGACTTACCATGTACTTTTCTTCACCACAACCCGTGACAACCTTTCCTTTCACGGGATATTCACCTTTTGATGTAGAGTGGATGTAACAGCGCCTGCCCCATGAATCCAAGGGCGTCCAAGTAAACAGGAAAAGGCCGGTCGAATATCCATTACATAGAAGGTAGAGTCGAATTCCTGCGAGCCTACGCTGATTGGAAGATCCACCTCTCTGTGTACCATCCTTTTTGAACCGTCAAAGGCTCTGACTACAATATCATTGGGTTTCAGCATAACCCCTTCAAAGTCAAGCCTGTCTAGAGCACCTTTCGGTAGAACATTTAACGAGGAACCTGTATCAACCAAAAC